CCCCTTTGACCTTTTCTCTGTTATTCTGAAGTAGTTTTTAAACAGTGATTTAGCTAATACAGTATATTGTGTTAGTAACTGTCTTGCGTTAAGAAGTATGATCTTTAAGAAGTGATATTTTGAGAATATCACTTATTCAAAGGCTACTTGAATTGTGTGTATCTTTGCAAGCTGTTCGGAGCAGAACTGTTTCTCACATGTTAATTTCTTGTCTTTCCTGGGTAGTTAATTCTATGATTTAAAAAAATTTTTTATATTGTATTACTTTTTTTGAGTAGTAGTCCTGATTTAAATTGTTGAGAAGCCATTTTTCTTTCTGTCTGTATGGAATATTTTTCCCTTAAAGCAAATGTTCTTGTTTTTATGTTAAGTACCCCTGTTGTAAGTTTGGTGAAGTTGCTGGATCTCTTCTCAGAATTAGATTTTAAATCTATAAGACAAAATACATGGGATCATGAAGAAATCCAATTGTATTGAAGCATCAACATATGTTAAAAAGAAAAAGTTCATGAACTCCCACTTAAGAATCTGTGCCTTAAAATGTCTATGTTTAAGTTTAACTGTGTCAAAAAATGTTGAATCTTAGATTTCTTATTTTTGGAGTACTGTAGATTGTTTCTATTTGTAGATTGTTGTTTAGGTTTGTTAATTTGGGGAAGTTTTCTTTGTTTTTTTTTTTCCCCCCTAGAATATCACGTTGCTATTGTTATTTTAAAAAATCTTCTAGGACCTCAATAATCCTGAAGTTGTAGCATTTTGATCTGCCTTCCAAAATCCTTGCATTTTTTTCGGGTTCTCTGGAATAGCCCTGTTTTTTGTAGTTGATTTGGCTGTTTATTGTTTCCCTTTGCTAATACAGTGGAGTATATAGTCAGTTAATTCCATTAATTTACTTGAGGTTTTAATTTTAATCTCTAAATGGGTTATTTTTTGTTATTTCCTTCTAGTCTTTCTGAAAGCTTTTAATTTTAGCATCATTTTCTCCTTTCTTTAAATTTTCTTCAAGCTCATTTATATTTGGCTTTATAATTCCTACTTAATTTCTTCAAGTCTATCAGTTATCCATTTGAGGATGGCATATGCACTTAACTTATCTTGAATTTTTTTGTGTATATATGATTTGTGTTGACTTAGCATTCTCAGTTGTTCCATGGAATATGTGTGTGTGAATGTTTATATTATATGTAACAGTTCTGTCCTCCACCCCCTCCTGATTGCTTATTACCTATTTTGATTGATTTTTATTTATTTTTTAATTGTTTTGCTACTCTTTGGTATTTCTGTGTTCTTTTTTGAGGGGTATGAGCCCTAAATTTTGTTCTGATTTCTTGACTGAAAAGCAGTCTCTGACACTTGAGGTGTGGGAAGCATTTAGTCCCCCACTCTATCCTAAAATATGGGGTATATTGTGAGAGAATGGTAGGAAAATCTATATGGCGTACTACCATTATGACAAAATAATAATACTTTGTGTATTTTAGGTGCTAAGTTTTTGAGCACTGTTTACCAGGATCCCAAAACTTTAGCTGATGAGATTCTAGTAAAGGACTTCTTCAATACTACTTATTCCTGCTCTTATTATTATTATTATTATTATTTTTAACAAAACTTTGATTTTTTTTGGAAATGATTAGAGTTAAGTGACTTGCCCAGGATCACACAACTAGTAAGTATCTGAGGTGGAATTTAAACTTAGGTCCTCCTGACTCTAGGGTAGGTGCTCGTGCACTGTGCCACCTAGCTTTGCCCTGATTTAATTTTTTTATAAATAACTCTGTAGTTGGTTATAAATTTGCTGTTATCATTTTGTACAAGAAAATGGTAATTGTTTTTATGTTTTTATGTTACTGTGTACAGTATGAGTTTGACCCTAAGAAAAATGATGGATAAAAATACAAATATAAAACAGAAGAGAGGAGCCAACCTTTCCCCACTAAGGACTTATAATAGGCTTAAACAATTAGCTCACCTAAATGCATCTAAAATGATTTGATTTATAAAAAAATCAAATTTATGTTTAGTTCTGCTGGGCCATGTACTATATACAACAAAGTACACTTGTAGTTTAAAAAATGTATTTGACCTTTCTTTAGGACTGATTGTTAATTGACTTGTGTGAAGTCATAGAGCTAGTAGGGAGAAGACCTTTTCCTACTCTTAATCCAACACTTTCTGGAGTATACCACAGTGTGCCCAAATCAAGTAACAGTTTTCTTCTAATGGAGTTACTTTAGGAATGAATTTCAGAGTACACAGAAACAAGCCACATGATTCAGAATATAATATTCCAAATTTAGGAGTAAAAGAAAGGCAACACAAACTAACAGTTACTCAGAGAGCTTACATTTTCTTGTGGGCATATGACACATACTCAGATAAATAAATTCAAAATAATTTCAGGAGGCAGAGAGCTCTTAACAACTGGGTGATTAGGAAAAGTATCTTGTAGGAAGTAACACCTGAACTAAGTTATAGTTATTTTCTTTTCTCTTTATATTTTATTTTGTAGTGAATTTAATGAACACTGAAAAAAAGGGAAACATTTCCATATAAAAAAAAAGGAAAAAGAGGATCACATACTTATGTAGAACTTGTTTTTTTTTATTCTCAATTTAACAAATAATGAATAAAATTTGTGTTTCCATTTCCATTATAGAATAAGATGGGATTGTATATGAAACTGTAAATTTCTTTCATTTAGAGCTTGTTTTTCTTTTAAAGTATATAATAAATTAAGCATGTAACTTTTAAATCTGTCATGCTTGCTTGTGATTCCTTCTGTCCTTTTATTCTCTTTTTGGAACTCCATCACTACTTCCCTTCTCTCTCCTACCTTTTACACTCCCCTCTCTCCTACCTGCCACTGAAGAGAGAAAAGCAGAACCCATGTAACAAATACACACAGTCAAGCAAAACAAATTCCCACATTGGTCATGTCCAAAAATGTATGTCTTATAGGGCATCTTAATCCTTCATTTTTATGTCAGGTCATAGGTAGCATACTTTGTATGAGTATTATGGAAACATAGATGGTCATTACGTTGATCAGAGTTTTTAAGTCTTTCCAAGTGATTTTCCATAATATTATTGTTGTTAGCTTGTTTATTGGAAAACATATGACACATTTAACATGTTACTTTCAACCCTAACCTCTTTTTACTTCTGGACTTGCTTCATTTCTCTTTTATACGTTAAAAATGCTTTAATAGCCATCTTTTATTTCTTTTACCTTTTTTTTTTGGTTCTATAACCCAATTGCTAGCTCCTTTCTCTATCCCAAGTAATAGTCTTTGTAGTAAAGAAGCATAGTCAAGCAAAACAAATCCATACATTTCTATGTCCAAAAATGTGTGTGTGATTCTGTATCTTTTATCTATCATTCCATATGTCAGGAGACAGGCAGCATGCTTCCTCTGGAGTGGTGGTAGGTTATTGCATTCCGCAGTTCTTAAGTCTTTCAAAATTGTTTTTACAGTGTTCTTCATTGTATGATTTCTTCTCTTGGTTCAGCTCACTTCATTCAGCAGCAAAGGTCATACAAGTTCTCCCAGGTTTCTCTTCTAAAACTGCCTCTTTCATAATTTCTTTATAGACATGGTATATTCTATTCCATTCATATTCCATAATTTACTCAGCCATACCCCAGTAGATCAAAGGAGATATGAACAAGAAGTTCTCAAAGAAGAAATCAAAAGCAATCAACAACCATCTGAAAAAATTCTTCAGATCACTAGTAATTTGTGAAATGCAATTAAAACTACTGTGAGATTCTACTTCATATTCATCAGATACGTAAAGTTGATGTAAAAAAAATTACACTTCTTAGAGGGGCGGTGGGAAGACAGGGACGCGGGTTCACTTTGGAATTGTGGATTGATCCAGCCATTCTAGAAAGCAATTTTTAACTATATCCTTAGGAAACACTAAACTGTGTTCACTCTTTCACCTAGCAATGCCACTAGTAGATCTATTCCCCAAAGAGATCAAAGAAAGGAAAAAGACTTACAAGTACAGAAATAGTTATAGCAGCTCTTTGTTGCAGGAGAGAACTGGAATTAAAAAGGGGGCCTATCAATTGGGGAATGACTGAACAAATCTTAAAATGATTTTAAGAGGTGGAGGTGAGGAGACAGTGAACTTTTAGGCATGGAGGGTGCTATATATATGTATGTATGGTCGTTGGTAAAGGAGGTGGCATTTACTATATGTTCTGGGGCAAGTTGGGGGACAGTTTGTCTAGAATGGCGAATGTGTGATGGGGAGTAATGTGAAATAAATCTCAAAAAAGTGGGTAGGTACTTTATCTTAAAAGGGCTAAAAATGCCAGTCATTGAAGGTTTTTGAATAAAAAACATCATGTGCCTTAGGAATATTAATTTGGAAGCTATATAGAGAGTGGACTGAAAAAATAGATAATGGAATCAAGGAAAACAATTAGGCCACTACAGTAATCCAGGAGATAGATGATGAGAGCCTGAACTGAGATGGTGAATGTTTCAGTGGAGAAGAGATTATTATACAATGTGAACATGCTATGGAGGGAGAATCAACAAATTAGGAACTAGTTGAATATTGGGTTTGAGGGAGAGGGAACAGTCAAAGATGACTCTGAGATTGCATACCTGGGTGATGGAGAAAAAGAGAGAAGTTTGGAAGAGGGATGGATTTTTGGAGAAAGATATTGAGGTCATTCTCAAGAAAATTTCCTTTTGATTCCCAGTCACTAATAACATTTAAATGAATTTGAAATTAAAAGTATGATGAAGCATCACCCTTGTGGATCCTCATTTACTGATGTGTAGATAATGCAAGAAATCTGAAGTTATGTTTTTGGGAAATTCCATGTGTACAATATTTCAGCCATAATGTAATTTGAACTGGTTTCCTGTTTTTAAAAACTATTTTATTGAAAGTTGAAAACTAAATGTCATGTTATTTTATTTTTGGTGTGATTCTTTGAATTACAGTCAATGAACTGGAACTTATCTTTTTTACTTTAGGCTTTCAGATAAACTTCTGTGAAAAGGCACAAAGTAAGCTATACATTTTATAGTTATGCTCCTTTTTTCATATCCATCTTGGTATTGGGAATGTGTCCACTGTTATTCCAACTAACCAACCATGGTGATTTTACATTAATAGAGCTTCCATTTCTCATTCTTTTATCAAGTACAAACATTTTCTCTTAGTTGTTTATTATAAAACATTTTACCCCTTTTCAGTTAAATTTCACAACTGGAATAGTAAAATAGAGATGTATGACATAAATATAATCTTTTATATATATTATCTAATAGACTATAACTCAGATTGGTATAGATCAAAGTTTCTGGATATGTACAATGTACAACAATTTTTCTCAAAAAAATTGTAGTTATATCATAAAACTAATAGTGTAATTATTGTACATATTTTCAGATTTTCTTTTTGCTAGTTGGTGATAGGAAAACAACCATCCCAAAAGAAGATATTGAAATTTTTATCTAACTAGAGAAGCTTAAGTGTTCTTGTATCTTTAAAAAAAAAAAACAAACCAACAACAAAAAAAACCCTCCAAAAAACCTAAAACAACTTTAAGAAAAAGGTTATTTATATTTGAATTTTTAAAATGTCAGTTATGTAAAATATGGTCTTAAAATAACAGACTATTTAATCAAGATCAGTAGAGGAGACTGCCTTCAAATTAGACCTTTCTCTAATTCCCCACCTTGCCAGAGTTTTAGAAATAGAATGTAGCATTAGATATTGAGACTACTTCCACCTTCCCCTCCTCACCCAAATGGCAGAAGGTAGTATGTGATATATAAAACTTTTAAATATGTTTCATAAGGATTTTATAATGATATATAATCAGTGTATATTATCCCTTCTGTGATACTAGCTCTATGCTTTTAACATATTTCAAATTAAAACTTGATATACTTTTTAAAACATTTTTACACGCAAATCCAATTTAAGTGAACAAACAACTGGACACAGTTCTTATCATCCCCCAAGACAAATCACACTAAAACTTTACTTTTTTAACTTTAAGAAATACCACCAACTCTTTTCCCCCTCTTCCCCTTTTCATCCTACAAGAATACTTAAGTTTTCCTTTTGCTTAAATTACAACCAGAAGTTTTTTTAGTGTGTTTTTAAAAACTATTTATATGTGTTACTGTCAAGAACACCAGTGATCTAGTAAGGCAGATCAGGAGCTAGAAGAAAGATCATATAAAAAATCTGTGCCAGAATTTGGCAAGATATTTTAAACTGAGGTATTTTCTCATTGGACCCAAAGTATGAACAACCCATTCACCTGTGCTACTGAACCTTGTTCATGGTTAGGGGGGTGATTGTCATCAGTCAACAACACTTTTTTTCCCCCTTGCCTTCCCCTACATTGTGAGAGGCATAGTGGATAAGGCATTGGATTTAGAGTCAAGAAGATCTGAATTCAAATCTTTCCTCACACTTACTATTAGAGTAACCCTGAGCAAGACACTTTATCTCTATGCCTCAGTTTCCTCATCTGAAAAAGGAGGAGATTGAACTGAATGGCTTCTAAAGGCCCTTCCAGCTCTAAATATCTGATTCTGTGACTACTAAGTTGGGTATTATGTGAGCCAGAGGTCCTGGGAGCAGTAAAACCAGTTAGTTTCCAGAGTTATGCAATGGGAGATGTACCTATTTATTGCTACCTCCAGATTTACTGTTTGTAACATTCAACAATTTCTCTATGCCTGGCTCCTCATTTTCATGAGGGATTTCTGTTCTCAGTGATTTTTCTTCTTCCAGGTGTCCAGTATCTTTGATGCCAAGTGAATTAGCCTGTCTTGTTATTGCCTAATGGTATAGTTGTGGCATATTTCTAAATTAGCTTTACATCAGGTACATATTAAAAATAGCCTGATTGCTTAGGTGTGAGTGGAATATGCCATGAGCAAAGGTGCCTTTATTCAAATGGGAATGAGCAGTATGAAAGACATGGAGAAAGGAGATGGTTAGTGATCACAGCACTTTTCTTTTTTATTACCTCCGTACTTAAGGATCTGGCAGCAAGACCACTTACTCTGGGTAGAGCTATAGACACACCAGAGCTCCCCCATGCAGGCATTCTGAATCTTTTTTGTATTATAAACCCTTTTGGCAGCCTGGTGAAGCCCGTTTTATCAGAATAATGTTTGTTTTCTTTTCTTTTTTTTTGCCCAGGCAATGGGGTGAAGTGACTTGCCTCAGAGTGGTACAGCTAGTAAGTGTCAAGTGTCTGAGGCCAGATTTGAATACTAGGTCATCCTGAGTCTAGGGCCAGAGTTCTGTCCACTGTGCCATCTAGCTGCCACCCAGCTGCCACCCACAATTATGTTCTTAAATGCATAAAATTAAATATACAGGATTACAAAGGAAACCAATTATGTTGAAATACAGCTATCAAAATATATGTATTTTGAAAGTTGATGGGTTAAGAATCCCTGTCTTAATGGAAAAGGAATAGATGAAGGAGGAATTGGAAGAAGCTAGCTGACCATAAATTTGGAAGGCAGTCAACAAACATTTTTTAAGTGCTTACTATGTGCCAGACACTGTGCTTAGTGGTGGGGATATAAAGAAAAGCATAAAACAGTCCTTGACCTCAAGAAGCATATATTACAGTGGAGATAGCATGTAAATATCCAGGTATGTAAAAGGCACAGACAGTAAGTAGATGAAGATAATCTGAAAGGGCAAGAGGCATTCATAGATTGGGAAAGATCTCTTTCAGAAATGCAGCAAATGGAATTTGACCTGAGTCTTGACGAAAGCCAGGGAAACTACAAGGTGGAGGTGAAGAGGCAGAGTGTTTTAGTCACAGGAGACAGCCATACATAAGCGTGGAGTAGTGACCTAAGTGTCTTGTTTTGGAAACCACAAGTAGATCAGTGTAACTGGACAGAGTATGTGGAGGCAGAAGAGGGTGCATGTAAGAAGCTGGGAAGGATAGGAAGGGGCCAGGATATGAATATGTTTTAATGTCATACAGTAGACTTTATAGTTGATCTTGGAGGTGATAGGGAGTGGTAGAGCTTATTAAACAGGAAAATGACATGGACAGAGCTGTGCTTCAGAAAAATTACACTATTAGCTCTCTGGAGCAGTATGCCATGGGTTGTTAAGCCCTAGCTTGCACCATTTAAAAATTACTTGCCCTCACAAACATTTCTTTCTGGTCCTGGATCTGTTGATCCATTTTAATTTGTATAACTGTGTTTTGAAAAATTTTAAGTCAAATTTTCACTTTTACAAGGAAAATTTCTCAGTTTGCATTGGAAGGTAGGTATTATTGTCTTGTTACTGCTGGTTGAAATGGTCACACAGAATACCTGCATTCCTTTTTTTTTTTCCTTTTGACCTAAGTCTCAGCAAACTTACAGCCCCTTCACAAAAGTACAATATCTAAAAATAAGGAATTTGAAAAATTGATCTTCCATCTTTTTAGACATTTGAAATTCTGAGAAAACTAATTTTTTACCTTGTTTTACTTAAAACCAGTGTTTCTACAGTTCTCTTGAATGTGTGGAAAAATTCTAAAACAAAAAACAAAACAGAAAACCTCCACAACTCCCTTCCTACTCCCCCTTGTTCTCCCCACCCCAAAACCCTTTCAGAATAAAATTTTAGTTTAGTCTCATATCATTTTTAGGAGATATATAAAATCAAGTGCTTATAGGCCAGGTAAGGAAATTTTGGTGTGGTTCAGAATCTCTGCTGAAAACTCAAGATAAATGTGATACTATGTTATAGCTTAAAATGACTTATAAGACATTTGTGATGACTAATGGAAGCTCTGAAATTTTTTTTTCATTGTCTTTCATATAACTTCTATTCTTTATGTTGTTATATTACTCAATTAAAAAAAACACCACAATCAATCACTTATTTATTACAAGTTGGTGAATTTTATTAGAGAATAATTATAGTTTGGGATTGTACAATTTTTTTCTGGGTGCTAAATGTCTTTAGGAGTTCAGTAAAAGTCCACTGAACATCTCATTTTGTATGCCTTTTTATATGTATACATATATATATATTTGCTTATATTTAATCAGTTTTATAGGCATATAATACTGATACAAGACAGTAATAAATGCTTTTCTGATATTGAGATTTTTATGAAGTTGGAATATCAGGTGTCAAACATGATTTTAAACAAATTATCTGAAAAAAAATTGTGTAGAACCCTTAAAATTGCCATTATGATGGTTTGATCAATTGCTGTTTAAGAATATGTTGCTATTGTGTATAAAGATGCTTTTATAGTTTGTGACAGATTTGGATTATCACAATGGCATTCAGATCAATGTGGTTAATTTGTGCATTTCATTCTTTTGCAATATAATTTGTTTTACTTTTTAAAATCAGAATTCTTCAGTGTACCAATTCCCAACCATTGGCTTTTGGGTTATTGCAAGGAGTTTGTGAATCCTTCAATAAGCAAACATGCCTTCTGCACACTGAGTAAACAGTATATGTTGCACATAAATGATACTAGATTTCAAATATTTGTAGATGCTGATTAAAATTCAAATCAGTATAAAAATATTACTGAGTTCATTGTAGCTGTTTGCCACTCCTTTATTTTCTCAATCAGTGATTGTGAATAGTACAACTACTGTGGGGGTGGGGGGCTCATTTTTTGACTTTAAAAAAAAGGGTTAGGGGGCAGCTAGGTGGCGCAGTGGATAGAGCACCAGCCCTGAAGTCAGGAGGACCTGAGTTCAAATGCGGCTTCAGTCCAAACGCTTGACGCGTACTAGCTGTGTGACCTTGAGCAAGTCACTTAACCCCAATTGCCTAAAGGAAAAAAACAAACAAACAAAAAAAGGGTTATACTCAAAGTTTGGGAGCCACTGCTTTAGATAAATTGGTATTTAAGTTCAGATTTTTAGATATATGTCAAAAGTAATTAGGCAAAATTTTCTCAGGTATGCTTTTTCTCTAGTTCATGATTATATGTATTCCAATTTGGGTGAGAATTGTATGCTGTCATGAATGTTACCTGCATTAGATATTT